GTACGCATGTTGACAGAAGCTGGAGCTGACAAAGATGCGGCCAAAAAGAGTGGAGCAACTGCTTTGTATGCTGCAGCTTACAACGGTCACTTGGAGGTTGTGCGCATATTGCTGGAAGCCGGAGCTGACAAAGATGCGGCAGACAAAACTGGGGCAACTTCTTTGTATGTTGCTGCTTATGCAGGCCATTTGGAAGTTGTGCGCATGTTGCTGGAAGCCGGAGCTGACAAAGATGCAGCAAGAGAGTCAGGCTACACAGCGTTGGATGCTGCTTCGGAGAAAGGCCACTTGGAAATTGTTTGTTTGTTGCTCAAAGCTGGAGCTGACAAAGATGCGGCCAACAAGAGTGGAGCAACTGCTTTGTATGTTGCAGCTCAGAAAGGCCACTTGGAGGTTGTGCGCTTGTTGCTCGATGCTGGGGCAGACAAGAACACCGCAAAAATAGATGGAGACACAGCTTTGCATGCTGCAGCTTACAATGGGCACTTGGAAGTTGTGCGCACATTGCTAGAAGCCGGAGCGGACAAAGATGCAACAAGACAAAAGGGATACACAGCCTTGCATGTTGCAGCTTACAGAGGCAACTTGGAGGTTGGGCGTGTATTGCTCGAAGCTGAAGCAGAGAAGAACGCAGCAACATTTGAAGGAGCAACAGCTTTGCATAAGGCAGCAAAACATGGCCACTTGGAAGTTGTGCGCTTGTTGCTCGATTCCGGAGCTGACAAGAACGCAGCAACAAAAGATGGAGGCACAGCTTTGTATGCTGCAGCTTACAACGGCCACTTGGAAGTTGTGCGCATATTGCTTGAAGCCGGAGCAAACAAAGATGCGGCCAGAACGAGTGGGGTACCTGGGGCAACACCTTTTCATATTGCAGCTTGCAGGGGCCACTTGGAAGTTGTTTGTCTGTTGCTCGAAGCCGGGGCTGACAAAGATTTGAAGACATTAAGTGGGACAACATCTTTGAATATTGCAGCTCAGAATGGCCACTTGGAGGTTGTACGCTTGTTGCTCGATGCTGGAGCAGACAAGAACGCAGAAAAAACAGATGGAGACACAGCTTTGCATGCTGCAGCTTGCAATGGGCACTTGGAAATTGTACGCATGTTGACAGAAGCTGGAGCTGACAAAGATGCGGCCAAAAAGAGTGGAGCAACTGCTTTGTATGTTGCAGCTTACAATGGCCACTCGGAGGTTGTGGGCTTGTTGCTCCAAGCTGGAGCTCAAAAGGACACAGCAACAAAAGATGCAGCAACAGCTTTGTATGCTGCAGCTTACAACGGCCACTTGGAAGTTGTGAGCATATTGCTGGAAGCCGGAGCTGACAAAGATGCGGCAGACAAAACTGGGGCGACTTCTTTGTATGTTGCTGCTTATGGAGGCCATTTGGAAGTTGTGCGCATGTTACTGGAAGCCGGAGCTGACAAAGATGCTGCAAGAGAGTCCGGCTCAACAACCTTGTATGTTGCAGCGGAGCGAGGTCACTTGGACATTTTGTGTTTGTTGCTTGAAGCTGGAGCTGACAAAAATGCAACAAGAGTAGATGGGGCATCGGCTATGTATGTTGCTGCTCAGAATGGCAACTTGGAAGTTGTGCGATTGTTGCTGAAAGCTGGAGCTGACAAAGACGCGGCAATGAAAGTTGATGGTGCAACTGCTTTGCATGCTGCAGCTTACAATGGCCATTTGGAAGTTGCACGCATGTTGACAGGAGCCGGAGCTGACAAAGATGCGGCAAGGCAAGATGGTTCGACTCCTATGTATGTTGCAGCTCAAAATGACCACCTGGAAGTTGTGCGTTTGTTGCTTGAAGCCGGAGCTGGCAAAGACTTGGCAAGAAAGGATGGGGCAACGGCTTTGTATGCTGCATCCCAAAACGGCCACTTGCAAGTCGTGCGTTTATTGCTTGAATCTGGAGCCGAAGAAGATGCGGCACACGTTACAATGTCAAGAGGCTTTTGTGTTGCAGCTTACAATGGCCACTTGGAAGTTGTACGCGTGATGCTGGAAGCTGGAGCTGACAAAGATTCGGCGAGAAAAGATGGGGCAACAGCCCTATACTTTGCCGCTCAGAATGGCCACTTGGAAATTGTTAGTTTGTTGCTCGAAGCCGGAGCTGACAAAGATTCGGAAAGACATGATGGGGCAACAGCTTTGTATGTTGCATCTCAGAAAGGCCACTTGGAAGTTGCACGCATGTTGCTTGAAGCTGGAGCTGACAAAGATGCGGCATTGAATTCTGGGGCAACAGCTTTGTATGTTGCAGCTTACAATGGCCACTTGGATGTTGTGCGCTTGTTGCTCCAAGCTGGATTTGGCAAAGATGCAGAAGGAAATGATTGTTTGATGGCTTTGCATGTTGCGGTTGAAACAGGTCACCTGGAAGTTGCACAAGTGTTGCTCGCAGCAGGAGCTGTCAAAGATGTGGCAAGAAAAGACGGCTCAACGGCTGAGCACGTTGCGACTGAGAAGGGCCATTTGGCAGTTGTGCGTTCGTTGCTTGAAGCAAGAGTAGCCGAAAGAGGTTTCTTGGAAGTTGTACACTTCTTGATGAAGGCACTGTTTAGCCCATGGCTGATGCTTTTGATCACGATCTTCACCACTTGGTGCCTTGGAAATTCGTGAAGGCACTGTCTGAAGGCCGAGCAAATCAGCTGTGCTGTGCAGACTCGCCCAAACGCTCGGCTTCGCCCCCGGAGTCGCCGTGTCGCGGAGAAGTTGCGCGGTTTTCAACGCGGTGGTCAGAGTTATCTAAGATGTTTCAAGGGTATGTTTTGTCCAGGACACGATATCTACGAAGGGGTGCCCATCTACGATATATCCGGAAAAGTCCTGTTCGTGTCGTTTACACCTTGGGGTTGCCTCAGGTTGCCGGCCTGTCACGTCCGCATGTCACGTCACGCCGGCCTGTCAGCCACGACGCTGGAGGTATCGGCCCAAGGCCTGGCATGTGGCCAGTTGGTCGGAGGCTGCGGAGTGCATGAAGGACCAGCCCACCTGGACACGCTTCGCGCACCTTGGAGCCGCAGAGTACGCCCCCGATCCACCTGTGCGGATCTTCCGCGCACCCGTCTGGGGAGTGGACCGGTGGTTCCGCGGTGCGGAACAACTCCGAACTCCCGGGGCTTTGTAGTTGTGTTTCGGGAGCTCCCACAGCTGGAACGAACTGAGTTTGGACCTCAACTGTCCAAGAAGCCGAAGTCTTCAGACTCGAAATCACAGACATTTGGTCCTCCCACCAACCTCATAGTGTTCATGTTCGGGGTGCTATTAGAGTGCCCCTGCTTGCCATTTATCGCAGTCGATCCGGAAAATAACCTAGCTCTAGCTGACTAGCTCCTTTGTATGCCCAAAACCCATGAAGGACCTTGCTGGAGGGATAAGCATCCGATTGCAAAAGCATGTTGGTGCTGTGATGAGTTGCTTTGAAACTGCCATGCCACAGTCAAAGTGAGAAAGACTGGGACGGTTCTCCCTCTCTCGCCTTCAATTTTATAAATATATATATATAGCTTTATGATCAGATGTAGCACCAGTTACATGTACATGACATAGCTTGTATAGATGTATGTTTCACTGCAGCCGTTTGTGGTTTACTTTTGTGTTCATTTCGATACCAGAGCTCACGCGTGTTAGAGCTAAAAGTGGGCCTAAGCTTCTACTCCAACCTTTGGGACAGTGACTTGGGGTCACAGAGTTTAAGAGCCTAAATTCTCCGTTCATGGTAGCGGAGCCGCGGTTCTAAGACCCGGCTACCGTCTGCGAATCAAAGGTTGCCGAGCCGCATCGGCTCTGGCACCGGAGATCCACAAAACAAGCATCACTTGCAGGAAAGCCGGATTGCTTCAATCCCTGGCTAGCAAGTCAACATGGCGCAACAGCCAGGAGCACAGGCACCACAAGCCACAGACATGGCACAACAATTTGCACAGATGATGCAAGCCCTAGCACAGGGGCAGAGCCAATTGCAACGAGCAATGGCAGAAGCATATACACAACAAACGGCAATCACAAGGAACATAGCCACTAGCGTAGAAGTAAGAGACAGATCCGAGTTGAAAGGCATTCCAAAGCCTGACAGGTTCAGTGGACACACAGGTACCTGGGATTCATGGTACTTCAAGTTCAAGACTTGGATTGAGACAAGTCACAAGAATGCAGGAAAGTGCATTCAGCTCCTCGAAGAGCATCAAGACACAGAGATCAATGAGACATCTCTGGAAGATGATTATCCTGAAGGAGCCGAGCTTGTTTCAGCTCAGGCCCGACAGGCTCTGATCTCACTATGTGAGGGAGAAGCCCTCGAGATTGTCAAGAATACCTCCAGAGGTCAGCACTTTGGCCTCGAGGCATTGAGACGATTGATCACCAAGTATGATCCACAGAACCCACAAGCAAACTCAGCTTTGCTGAAGAAGGTCCTGCACCCACAACAGTGTGCATTGGACAAGCTCAGAGAGAGCATAGAAGCCTGGGAAAACATCAGGCGAAAGTACGAAGAGCGGAAGAAGAAAGCTCTTGATGATGACATCGCAAGAAGTTGTCTTCAGCAGATGTGTCCAGCCAAACTTCAAGATCACCTTGACCTCCAGAGTTCAAGACTCACTGACTATGCCATCATGAAGTCAGAGATTTTGGCCTACCTCGAGAACATCGAGAGCCGAAAAGAAGCAAAGACTGGATCAGCACCAATGGATGTTGATGCACTAGCCGCAGCTGCCAGCCAGATGCAAGCTTCACTTGCAAGTCTGGCTAAAGCCAAAGGAAAAGGCAAAGGTGGCTCAAAAGGCGGCAAAGGAACAGGAAAGAGTCAAGATGGAGGCAAGGGAAACGACAAAGGTAAACAGAAGGGAAAAGGTTCTTCATGGTCCAATCCCTCGTCATGGAACAACTCATGGAACAAGAACGATTGGTATAAGAATGATTGGAACAAGAGTAGTTGGTACAACCAAAACTCCAAGGGTAAAGGCAAAGGTGGCAAAGGCAAAGACTCTAAAGGTAAAGGCAAGAGTAAGAGTAAGAAGGTAGCTTCAGTTGAGGAATCTGAAACCTCTATGGCTCAAGAGCATCAACCCGAGCCTGAGTATTCCGCTGACATCGCCACCCTCTTTGCCATCGAGATGGAGAAAGCAGCACCTGCAGCAATTTCTCGTGGAGCAGCCAAGGCAAAAGCTGAGACTGAAGTCAAGGCTATGCCAAAGAAGCCAGGAGCTGGAAAAGGTCGTCCTGGAATTGCAGCTGCTGGGATTGCAGTCATGAACCAAGCAATCCAAGAGACCATGCAGTCCAATCGCGAGCTGTATGAGAAGAAGTCTGAGACAATCCAGAAGGCCATCGAAGAGGCCGAAGCCAAAGGCAAAGCAGCCAATGACGCCATCTTGGAACAACAGGCCGAGATGAAGAGGCTGAAAGAACAGTATGAAGAAAAGGAGAGAGAAGCCAAGATCTTGCTGAAGAGGCCAACTCCTCGCCGCGCCGCTTCGGTTCCGGCGGAGTCGCCAAGGCTCTCAGCTGATTTGGCATCAGGTATGGATCCAAGATTGGCCAAGAAGAAAGAGAAGAGCCGTCAGCGCGCCGAGCAGCATCGCGTTGAGAAGGCCCAGGATCGTTTCGAATCCTGGCGCGACTATGAGGCCAATTACCCTGAGGAGCTCGACTACTATGAGATTGCTCGTGCCAAGGGTACTGGTCGACTTCAAGCTTGGGATGATGAAGATGATGAAGGAAAATTTGATGAAGCCCCTCAGCCTCGAGGTCGAGAAAAGGCCCAGAGGCATCGTGGCTACAAGAAGCCAGGAAAGGCCAAGAAGCCTGAACAGCCAAAGGAGAAGGAGCCCAAGATCGAGGATCTCTCCACTCAAGAGTTGGCAGAGATGAAGCGGGAAAGCCAGACATGGACGGCTACTAGCCATCCAGCCCGCAGTGTCATCGACAAGGCGCTCACTGCAGCTGGGTTCAACCCCGAGGACTATGTTGTGATGAAGCGCGTCGAAAGCCAAGGCGAAGGAGCAACAAGCGCACCATCCTTCGCAGCTCCAGTCATGGAGAACATCAATCCCCTTGATGTGACTGAGATCGAGGGACTCGAAGAAGAAGAGTTTGAAGGTGAAGTTGAAGAGGATGAGAATGGCACTGAGCCAGCTGACGAGGAGTCAGATGGACAAGAAGAAGAAAAAGAGAAAGATACCGTGCCATGGCTCGATCACATGTTCCAAGAGCGCATCCTCAGCTATGATGAATGGGTAGCCAAATGCACCCACAAGAACAGAGATGGCAGCAAGAACATGGTCTGCCGTGCGTGCAACAAGGCCCTGAGGTGTGACAATGACACCGGCCTATGGAACCACCATATGGCTTTGAATTGTTGCCCGCCAAAAGTCCTCAACCAGTGGGCAAAGGAATGGACGATCAAGCAGAAAGAGATGGGAAAGCGCATCAAGACTGCCAAGGGACAGCAAGGCAGCCCAACTTCAAAAGATGCGCCAAAGCACGTGAAAGATGCCGACATGGATCTGAAGCCCGAAGATGTGGCAAAGCATTTGAGGATGGAAGATCCAAAGCTTGAGACTGTCAAGAAAGGAGGTCCTTTCTACATGACTGCCCATATGCAGAAGATGATGGAAGAGCAGGAGGAGGAAGATGAGGTTGGCCCAAAGACGCCAAAGCAAAGGCGCGTCGCCAAGACACCTCCACCTCCTGAGAAGAAAGGCAAGACCAAGGAGGAGCGCATGGCCTGGTTCAAGAGCTCGACTGAAGAGCACCAGGAGCGATTCCGTGGACCAGGATCCAAGCCAGAGGAATCCAGCGAAGCGCCAAGGCAGACGCTTCGGCTGAAGTCCCGGTCACGATCCCCGGGCAAAAGCCGAGCCGCTTCGGCTCCGGCTGCCTCCGAGAAGGGCCAAGGAAAGGGCAAGCAGAGGAAAGTGCAGTTGACTCGAGCCGTCAACGTGGCCACTCAGGATGCTGCCCGTGAGGCCAAGAAGGGAAAGGGAAAACGGTATCCCACTCCCTCAAGCGAGCCTGATGAAGGCGATGACGATCCACTCGCTCTCAAGAGTTTGGAGCTGGCATCCATGGAGACGCCAATGGCTCATCAGGTGACCTTGGATTCAGGAGCCGCGACCTCCTGCATCCCTGTTGAACTGGCCACCGCATTGGGCTACAAGCCTATCCAGCCTGAAGGCACCTGCAAAGTCTACAAGACTGCCTCAGGCGAAGTGGTCAAGGACCTTGGCAAGATCGATGCCATGGTGACCATCGGCATCGGCCAGAACTCCCTCAATGGACGTTGCTGTTTCCGGGTGATGGCGGTTGCAAAACCGCTGCTCTCCGCTGGGGCCCTTATGAGCAAGGGCTGGTGCATTCAGATGCACGGATCTGGTGGACAGATCTCCCGAGACGGAACTAAGATTCCGATCTCGTTCAGCAACGGCGTCTGTTCTGTGCCGCTTGCATTCCACCCTTTCGTCCGGCACCGCGATGGGTAAGCCCGGTGGAGCAGGCCGAAGAGGCCGAGCAAGGCGACGAAGTGCCGCCTGAGCTCAAAATCCATGCTCCCACTCGCCCGACGAGAAAAGAGTTCGAAGAGCATGCTGTTTCACACTTCCCTTTTAGGTCTTGGTGTGAAGCCTGTGTAAGGGGAAAAGCTAAGGCAAACCCTCACAGGAAGATAGACCACACCGATGAGACAACCCCAGTAGTGACTGTAGACTACTGTTTCATGAATTCACGAACTGATGATGTAGTTTTGGACGAGAAGACTCATGCACCAATTCTTGTTGTCAGAGATCGATGGACGAAGCATCTTTTTGCTCATGTGTTGCCCTACAAAGGTGTGACAAAAGGTCCATACGGATCCAAAGTACTTTTGAACGACATCAAGAAATTAGGATACTCCAAACTGATCATTCGACATGATCCTGAACCTGCCCTCACCTCTGTTGTTGAGGCAGTAAAGAATGGGTTTGAAGGAACCCTGATCATCGAGAAGAGCCCGAAAGGAGTCAAAGAATCCAAGGGAGAGATTGAACGAGCAGTTCAAACCTTGGAAGGACAAGCCAGGACTCTTCGAGCCGCGATCGAGTCAAACTATGGTGAGAAACTTCCTGACGATTCACCTGTTTTGACTTGGTTAGTTGAACACGCATCCACAGTCTACAATCTGTTTTTCCGATCAACCGAACTTCAAGACGGAAAGACTCCGTATTCACGACTTCGTGGACGTGAATGGAAAGTAGCAATTCCACCATTTGGTGAGGCCGTCGAATACCTCAAGAGAGGTCACAAGTTCGAGGCCCAATGGACCAAAGGAATTTTTCTAGGAGTGAAAGACACCACCACAGAGAAGATAGTAGGAAATTCCACAGGCCTTTTCACAGTGCAATCCATTCGGAGAAAGCCAGAAGAAGATCGATATGATTCAGAGTTGCTGAAATCGATCACTGGAATTCCCTGGGATCCTCAAGCAATTCGCGAAGAACCAGCGATTGCAGCCCCAAGGGAACCAATCATTGCCAGCCCAAGTGGTGAAGCTTTAGTTCAACCACCGGCAATCGATGACAAGAAAAGAAAGCTGAGAAGACTTTACATCACCAAGAAAGACCTGGAAAAGTTTGGGTACACAGCAGGTTGCCCAGCTTGTGATGCCACACAGAGTGGCAAGAGATCTACAGGCATCCATCACACCAACAGGTGTCGAGACAGACTTGAAGAGAGCATCAGAGGAGAAGAAGAAGAGAACCCAAGAGTAGCAAGACATGAAAGCCGAGTTGGAGAGGCAATCACTGGCATGCCACAACCAGTCAGTGGCAAGAGACCTCAAATCCTTCATGGATATGAAAGCAAAAGCCCATCGGGAGTTCCCGATTCGTGTCGAGTGTTCGCACGACTTGACGTCGAAGCTTACTGTTTTCAAACCACCATGCCAGGAGGACCTGATTGGTCCACCGTCTGGCACCGAGTCACAAGAAACCATGCAAACAACGCAATCATTGAGAGTGGAGTCATGACAACAGACCTTCCACCAGAGATACTCAATGGAGCATTACCACACAAGATGGACATTGTGACAGAACTTTGGTACGAACCAGAAGCAGCACCACCAACACCAGGCACAGCATCAGCTTCAGCATCAGGTATTCGCAGACCACGCGAACCTGAACCACATGGAGAAAAGAGAGAACACGAAGAACAACATGAACCAGCAGGATCACCCACAGCAAAAGCCAGAGTAGATAGAGACAAGAAGAGAAAGGCAGAAGGCGAACATGAAGATGAAGCCGAGAGAACAAGAGACATCCAGAGCATTGAGATGGCTTTAGAAAGCCTAATCCTAGAAGACAGAGAGAGAGAGTGCTATCTAGCATCGACCCAGAGAAACCAGTGTGTGAAGAGAAGATCCCACTGCCAGAAGAAATGGCAGAAGAGGTAAAAGACTGGTGGTACTATGATGACATCAGTGGAAAAGAGCTGCTACCTGAGAAGGTAGAGAAAGCCAGAAAAGATGAAATCGACATTGTCGAATCAATGGGAGTTTGGGAAAAGATCCCAAGAAGCAAAGTTCCAAAAGGAACCAAAATCATTGGAACTCGATGGGTAGATGTGAACAAGCAAGATGAAACCAATCCTCTCTACAGAAGTCGATTGGTAGCGCAAGAGATCAAAAGAGGCTCAGGTTTTGACGAATTTTTCGCAGCCATGCCGAGCCTTGCAGCTTTGAAGCTACTGCTAACCATTGCAGTCAGTGACAGTCTTCCATTGGAGAAAGGCGAAAAGCGAAAGACAAAGCAATCTTTCCTAGGATTTTTGGATGTGAAGAGAGCTCATTTCTACTCCAAAGCAACAAGAGAACTCTATGTTGAAATTCCATCAGAAGGCAAGAAACCAGAAGATGGAGATGTGGTAGGAAGATTGGTCAGAAGCCTTTACGGCACCAGAGACGCACCCATGAATTGGGAGCTGACCATTGCAGAGTTTATGAAGAAGCTAGGATTTGTTCAAGGCAAGTCCAATCCATGCATCTACTACCATGCATCCAGAGAACTTCGAACAGAAGTGCATGGAGACGATTTCACGACAGTTGGAAGTTTTGATGACATCAAATGGTTTCACACTTCAGCAGCCAAAGAATGGCAAGTTGTGGAACGAGGCATTCTCGGTCCACCAGGTTCACCAAAGGCAAGCCAACAGATCAGAGTGCTGAATCGCATCATCACCTGGTCAAATGAAGGCATTTGGTGGGAACCAGATCCAAGACATGCAGAGTTGATCATTAAGTGGTTAGGCACTGGTCAACCAGGCAAGGTCAAAACACCTTTGGCCAAGCCAAGTCAAGAGGAACTCCAACACGAAGAAGTTCCGCTGAGTGCCGAAGATGCAACGATGTATAGATCTATTGCTATGAGAGCCGCGTACTTGGCACAGGATCGACCTGATCTGCAAACCGCAACGCGCTCATTGGCACAAGGTCTACAGAACCCAACATCGAGGCACTGGAATATGCTGAAACGATTGGCTCGATATGTCAGGTATCGACCAAGAGTTGCACAGTTGTTTCCAAACCAAAGCACCTGCAACCCCTTCAACATGTGGTCAGACGCCGACCATGCAGGTTGCATAAGGACACGAAAGAGTGTGTCAGGAGGCGTGCTCATGGCCAACAAATGCTGTCTCACAACATACAGCAAAGGCCAAGGAGTTGTCTCCCTGAGCAGTGGCGAATCCGAGTACTACGGACTTGTTTCGGGAGCATGTCAAATGCTTGGAATCGCATCAACTGCAAGAGACTGGGGATTGTTTCCCAGCAAAGAGGTGACAATGGACGCTTCCGCTGGCATCGCCATGGGAAACCGTCGAGGTTTGGGACGAGCTAAACATGTTGACACTCAATACCATTGGGTACAAGAGCGCACAGCAAAGAAAGAGTTTCGTCTCAAGAAAGAAGGCACCGACCGAATGTTGGCCGATGTGCTAACGAAAGCTGTCACCGAGGAGAAAATGACAACAGCCATGAAAGGCATGAACTTCCACTACTTGGAAGGTGAGCATGAACTGACTTTGAAAGCGTGAACGGCTTGAGCTAGAGTAGGTACATCTTGGTCTTGAAGAGGTACTGAAGGGCTACGAGCTAATTCACCGAAGTGCTAATCCTGACTCGCTTAACTTCTGGGAGATGTTAAACTCGGGAGGCGTGATCAGATGTAGCACCAGTTACATGTACATGACATAGCTTGTATAGATGTATGTTTCACTGCAGCCGTTTGTGGTTTACTTTTGTGTTCATTTCGATACCAGAGCTCACGCGTGTTAGAGCTAAAAGTGGGCCTAAGCTTCTACTCCAACCTTTGGGACAGTGACTTGGGGTCACAGAGTTTAAGAGCCTAAATTCTCCGTTCACTTTATATAACAAAACGCGAACCATTCACTTGACCAGCAGGCTGTTCGGTGGAGTTTCAATTGAGGACCACTTTTGTGGTATGATCTGTTCCGAGTTTGTTTGGGCATTTGGGGCGACTGTTCAATCCGGCAGACAACTCACTTGTTGAATGGGTCACGTTCGGGGGACAAATCATGTCGGGCTTATAGCATGTTGAACAATACCTTGTGTGGCTGGTTTTCTGCCATATATGTACATATATATATATACTATATGCAAAGAACCTTGAAATCTTAGCACTTTCATGAAAAACTAACTCATCAGCTGCGTGGGCTGAGGACACAAGTGAAGCCAGGCCGGATTGGCCGGATCATTCTGAAGTTCGACTAACCTTGCGAAGTTCTCAGTGAGGAGAGTTGATCTGAGTCGATGGGTGGCCCAGCAACAGCACAATAGCTCAGCAAAACATACATTTTCCATGCAGGCAAATTTATTCAAAGGTTTCATCTTGGCTTTGTGCATGGAAACAGGAAAAAAACAGCTTTTATGAGCCCTTGGCGATTGCCTATAAGCGACCATTTCACCCGCACGTTTGAGTAGGTGAAAGATGAAAGGACCCACTGTATTAGCCATACCTGCAGTGATATAGTGATGTAGACTCTGGATTCACAAAGGCCCCCAGGCATGGATTGTAAACCCATGTGAAACCTCTTAAGACCACCCAGAGTGTTGACATAGAATCAAGAGTCTACATTTTCCTGAAAAAGGACCCTTTTTCGTGCCTTGTTGGGTCTGACCGGAGCCTTCCACCAAGGTTCCCAAAGCTGGAGCATCTCTGAAGCGGCGTTCTCTAAAGGAGACGCATAGCGTTGTTGCCACGGTTGCAGCGGTCATCAAAAAAGACACATGTCTCAAGTATAAGTCGACAGCTCCTGAGGATGTTGAAAAGTGTTGAGATGAGACAGCCCATTGTTTGGGTCCTGCCCTTGTAACTTCATATCACTTACTGTATGTTTCTTCAGCCTCTATATGTTGAAGAAGAATGACCCTTTCTAGGCAGGGCAGGCCTCTTTCTATGCTGGCAAACCTCATGCCCATTGATGTTGCTCCAGCGTTCCGCCCTTTTGGAGTACCGAAGCAGTGCGGAACTTCCGTCGATGCCAGCGTTCCGCGCTAACGCGCAGTTGGACCCAAATCCTCAACTTCGGGGTGCCAGGGGGGGCCAACTGCGTGATCATCAAAGGAGATACTAGTCGCGGTGTTTGCTATGTGGTCAAGAGGTCTGAGGATCAAAGGAGGCCTCCCGCTGGTTGTGTTGGGTCGCTCATACTTTGGACGTTTGATGAGGGTCCTAGCGCGACACCCACACTCCGCTTTGTCGTGACTAAGCTACTCAGTGGAGAGGACTAGAGTTGACGGGTAGTGAGAGGAGCTTCATGAAGCCTCTTTGAACGGATTGTAGGATTAATGCAACTTCTGACAGCTTTAGGCAAAAGCACATGGGTCCCAATGGCACGAACGCGGGTAGTGACATCGGATAGCTTGTCGGATGTGATAATTTGGACAATATAGTAGTATATAGAAGGTTTTTGCATGACATGCTTTGCGATGTCTCAACGTTATTCACGTTTCTCTTGGACCTCTACAAGCCATTTGGTGCTTTGCAAGGGTCTACAAAGGTGTTTTCCGCCATGAAAACGGTTCCTCGACAAAGCCGTGGGATGTGGATGTGGTGTTGTCACCCGGGCAACATGAAGGTTAATGGAGCAAAGAAGAATGTCAATATGTATATATATATATATTATATAGACTAGATATATCCAATGTCCAATGTAGGAGTACGCTACTTCTCGGCTCAAGCACTTCAAGAACTGTCTTTGGGAATCCATCTATTGCAGAGCTGTTCTTTTTCTGAAGGTGTTCCACACCCGGGTTCAAGTGAGTCCATGAAGCGGTCAAGGCAGATCCATGCTCCACCATTTGCACCAACATGTCAGGTGTCTACTGTTGCTGCAACGAGTGGTTTTTTTTTTTCTGCTCTTGGTATCCGAAGAATCTTCGGATAGACCGAGAAACCAAGCACCCAAGAGAGGAGGATTTTCCAAGGCAGACTGGAAGAGGTCGTGACAAGTCTGATGTTTTTTCAGGAACACTGCAGTTGAGCATCCTATAAGTGAACTGCTTTGATAGGTCCAAGTGTCAGTGAGTCGTTTCTTTCTACAGGTTACAACAATCAAGAGGACTATGACTATGAGAGTTTGATGTAGAGTGTGCAAACAATTCAGACCTGGGCTTCAGCTCGTCTCTTTGGAAGCTGATTCTTTCAGCTCCAAGATCAGTTACCCCGAAGACCACCTGGAATTTACTTCACACTGCAGGTGTGTTGTGGCTTCAGCCAATACCCTGAGGTTTGTTTGTTGTTTGAAGTGGGTTCCAGGAGCAAATCCTGGTCTACCTTCCGGGGACCATAGAAGCTACTATAGGAGCAAAGGGCTTCGCTATTTGGGCGTTCTACCGCCGCCGCTTTGTTCGAAGCGACGTGCGCACGCGCGGATGTACCGTGCTGCAGCCCTTCCACTTGCAGCATGGGAGGTGGGGGTATGAAAGACCGACACTGCGGATCACGGATGGTTGGCCCCTTTGGCACCTTTGGAGCTCACGGTGGCGCATTCTCGAAAGCTCGGATCGTCTTCTCCCGGTGGTGCAGACCGGTCCTCGATCGTGACGATCGTTTCGTGACCGGAACAGAGATCGGCCAAAGTACGGATCCGACCTCATCCAATGATCCAATGCACCGTTTTTTTCTTTCTGGATCGTTTATAATTTGGCCACTACTGATCGTGCTTCGTTCCCAACAGGCACTGAAGGGTGTGGCCAAGTCACCATTCAGGATTCTGGTCGGTGCATTCGGCTCTGTGGATCCGACATTTTCAGACAGAAGGTGACTTGGACCCTCTCCTTCTCACTGACAGATACAGTACATGACAGCATCCCGGGTGTTCTGAACATGGCAAGCCAGGTTGACTTACTTTGAGGAATCACACGGTTTTTCACACGGATCCAAGACACCAAGAAAAAACAACTCATGAAGAAAGGGAAAGAGCTGGCTGAGGCATCTACAGGTTGTTTTGCTTCACCACTTCTACGTGTCGGCTGTTCAGAACAGTGTTCACCATCAATATTCATCTCCAAGACATGTGTTCACCTGAACCTTACATCTAGGTTATCATCCCTCCACCGCAGTTATCATCCGTCCACCGCACAGGCAAACGCATGCAGGGATCACATCAAATTGGATCACCAAGATGTGGTGGGGGGATTTTCAGGCCGCCCTTGTCCTCAAGTTGCATCCAACACAGGTCGTCCGTATTTGAAATCCAAGCACTTGCTCTGGTGCTTTGACATTTGGACGCAGGCTGTGCTACCCTGCGGCGAGGCAAGGCTACTTGCAGGGTACACTCTGACTGACTGACATGGAAGGGGAAAATGCCCCCCCTGGAAGACTAATGCCGTTTTGAAACAGACGGTTGGCTTTCCACTTTCATGCCAGAGAGTGGGAGAATAAATCGTGGTTAAGTCATGTTAAGTCCTTTTCTTCTCTCTTGCAAGGGTTTTTGGGTTTCCAAGTGAGCTACAGTATAGGTGTTAAAGGTATTTCTGGACCTGCAAAGGTTGATGTTTGATGTTCGTGATTTTTGGGGGAAGGGAACCACTATGAAACCCTGCCCAGTTCACCAACAGGAACACCGAAACCCAGCCTTTCACGCCGAGAGCCGATTTGGCCGCCGCATTTGTCTCAGGAGCGGAGATCATCATAACGTATATGGCCATATATGTTTCAATACTGAGTTAGTCTTTCCTCCTCCAGGAGGAGTTGGGGTAGCTAGACTTTAGAGCATATAAGATCCACAACCCACCCTATCTTGACCTTTGCCGTCGCAGGGCGTAAGCGGCGTAAGCCAATGCCCAGCGGACAATAAATAATGCCACTAAACATAAGCACCGACAACAACAGACAAGTCAGACAAGAAGCAATGATACAGACAACGACAACACCAAAGACGTGGTCCAACATCCTGGCCAGACACCGAAGAGAGCAGACAGCAATTAATAAGACACCAATGTCAACGCCGCATGACACTTGACGACACACGATGACAAGCGGGTAACATGTAGCCACCAAAACACCCGACACAGGACACTGCAGGACAAACATGAGAACCAGCAGACAATGACACACCTGTGACACACAATGTCGACACCAAAACAATAGGAAAGACATCACATTGTTATACTTTACAACACACCAGGGCAAGAAACAAGAAACATGACAGCAGACAACAAACAATGACACACACACACATATAATATGTATAATGAGAACACCAAACGTAACCACAACACAAAGGCCACCGGTGACGAGGTCCCTCGCCAGTCATCGGGCTCGATTCCTGAGCACAGTGACCCAGGCATGCCAGTGACCCAGTAACTGCAAGTGAAGGCATATGAGTAGAGTAGATATGTAGTACATTTGTCAGGCACTGGCCGAAAACGACTAAAGATTTTTCCAGTTAAGTTGTTGAGATTGGGATGTCAACATGTGTTTTTGTTCTATGTAATAGAGTACCGAGACAACGTTCTCACGGCTCTATCGTATACCCGGTCGAGTGGGGATAGTTGGAAGTACAGTAATAGTTGTAAGTAAAGTAATGTATGTTTCTAATCTTCATGTTCAGCACAACTTTGAACAAGAGGCAACATATTACTGTATGTTGGTTTCATTCATGGAATATGGCTCGTCACCAAGATCAAGAAAGCTTGTGGCCGTCATGCACTCTACAGGTTTTGTGTCAACATGAATCTGGTCCTTAACCTCAAGGTGGCTCTTATTCCGATTGGACTTATAGTCTGGATCTTGAACTGTATGCCTACCCCACTGCAGTGGGTGACCCGTTCCTCGCCAGAAGAGCCATCTTCTTACTGCAGCCTGCCGCTCTGCCTTTGGCTTCGCCCAGAATCCGCCCCTCGGCACCGGCACTGCCCTTGGCACCGGGGAACACAGAGACCGCGGTGAAACCGTGAGAATGGACCACCGGAACCTCCAGGGGGCTGGGCTTGGGGCGGGCTCGGTCACCACAGCCATGGAGCGATATTGAGTGACAGGGACCTGTGTACATGGACTATATCAAGATGTAAACTTGGCATCAGGTTGGGAAGAAAAACATAACGGAGGGAGAGCGACTTCTCGTTCCACAGTCCTCTAAATTGATTCAAGTCAGATGGTCCGATGGTCCTCAAGCATTGTATACTCCCCTGAGCAAATGCTAAATGAGCTGAAAGAAGGTTGGGCAGGCCAAAGCCACTTCCCTTCACAAGTCTGGCCATGTGTGGAACGGTGTTGCAGCAGTGGAGTTTGCAAAAGATATGACATTCATATACGCGTCTCGTCAAGAGTAAGGTGTTGGGGCTTTGGATACATGGGTAAATTAAGGCCATCTATATAAGGCCTCAACTGGACACATGAGAAGGACACCTTTGGGGTTTGTTTGGAGAACATGAGGTTGGGTTGATCAAACTAGGCAAATGATCCTGCCCCCACCCAGACCATGTAGTTCAAGTTTGGCACACAGGGGATGCACTTCGAACATGGAAAAAGAACTTGGCTCTCCCTCAGTTACTCAGTAATCCTTCAAGTCTTCCCTGGCCTTGCAGGAAATGATCTCAAGGGCACTCTAGGGAAGCGACGAGTTCAGTCGTCTCGCTTCACCTCACTGCAGGTCTTTCTGGATCGGAGCGTTTGAACCTGCCAGGGGCCCAGAGACTGTCGTCGTCGCCTGTCTTCTTCCCTCGGTGATGGTGTCGGCTGCAACCAGTCGTCTCGAAACGTAGAGTCACTCCGACCA